GATACGAGGGTCAAACTGAAAGTTCTTAGAAAATCAAAAACTGATTACATTAGCCAGTTATTAGTTTTATTATATCTTTTCAAAATATTGTCCATTCACGTCAATACACCGCTGCATGCGATGGAACCACTGGGAAAAGCACTTTGCCCACTCGTCCTTAGGGGTCTCTTCAATGGCATCGCGATACGCAGCCACCGCTTCTTCAGCATTCATAAACCGTTTTCCTTTAAGTTTTTCTTTAATTTTTGGAAATAAATAAAAATCACAAGGCGCGAGGTCGGGGCTATACGGCGGGTGACCCAGTAATTCAACGTTTGATGTCGCCAAATAGTCGATCGTTCGCTTGGCGGTGTGCGACGAGGCGTTGTCGTGGTGAAGGAGGATCCTACTGCGAGGTCGTTTCTCTCGAACTTTTTCCAAGACAAGTGGCAAACAATTGGTAGTGTACCATTCTGCAGAAACTGTTTTTTGATCCTCTAACACAATTGTTGCAAAATGACCTATCCTTCCAAAGAACGAGGCCACCATTTTTTTTCCCGCACTTCGATCTCTCTTCACTTTAGTTGGCAACTCCTCGAAAGGAAACACCCACTGAGCAGATTGTCTTTTGGTTTTAGGATCATAACAGTAAATCCAGCTTTCGTCACCTGTTAGTATGTCGAACACAGCATTTGAGTCACCTCCGTTAAATCTTTCAATCATTTTACGACACCAATCCACACGATGGAGGTTTTTGAGCCTCAGTCAAATTATGAGGTATCCACCGGGCGCAAAGCTTCCTGACCGCTAAATGTTCGTGGAGGATTTTGTGCACTTGACTCATACCGATGCCTAAGCTTGTCCGAATCTGTTGATAGGTCACTCTTTTGTCAGTCTCTATCATACGCCGCACAACACAGATGTTATCTTCAGTCGTCGCCGTAGAAGGCCGTCCCTCACGTAAATCATCAGTGAGATTAGTGCGACCACGTTTAAACTCATTAAACCAGTTGTAAACAGTCGCACGAGATGGGGCTTCATCGTGAAAGGCCAATCGTAGTCTATCATAACTTTCTTGTTGACTTAAATGACATCGAAAGTCATAAAAAATCATTGCACGAAAATTTTCTCGTGTTAAATTCATGATGACGTGACACAGACAATTTTCAATTTGCCGCCAAATCGTAAAACAAATGACAAATGAATGAAATATATACTCAGTAATATTGGCAAAGAGTTATATTTTCAAATTTTAGAATTATTTTTTTATTATATTGTTTATAAGTGGCCAGTTCTAAGAACTTTCAGTTTGACCCTCGTAATAGGTATTTAGTGACGTATTACAGTAATCTATTTGGTCCTGCTTTCATATGGGGAATTAAATGTTTCGTGTAATATATGTACGTTTTGATTATTTTTTGCATGGGCCACAAGGTTTCGAGGGAATTAATTAATCACAAATAATATTAATTTCATTACTAATTTCAGATCTTCATCACACAGCTTTTACTCTACTTAAAGTTGAGAAATAGAGATGAAATATCCACTTTATGAATTAGATTAGATTAGGGTTCGTTAGTGCAAAATGTTAATAATAATTATTTAAACAAAATACTGTGTTCTGTTATTTAGGAACGTGTAAATTGATTTATAAATAAATAATATATGTTTGCTAAAATAAACAAATACGATTATTTTCAGGGTTCCGTAGTCAACAAGGAACTATTTTAGTTTTGCCATGTCTATCTATCTGTCCGTCTGTCCATCCGCAGTTTAGCTCATAAACTTTTGGTACCTACTAGAAAGTTGTAATTTTTAGGGTACCTGCCCAAATGTCAAGTAGGTATGATTATTTTTTCGTCTTCCTCATAGTATGGGGATCGTTGGATGAGTATTTCTAAAGTATTGGGAATATGGAAGACTGTTTTCCGATTAAGTAAACCCTTCGTGACTTATTAAGCTATAAAGTGCCAATTTTCGTTAGAATAGGGGTTTGGTTGTTTGTTAGAAATTTGAACGCCATGGCAATAGTACCTACATATAACCAAGTTAAAACGAAAAATATCACACTGAATTTGGCTTTTCAAGATTACGAGTGGTAGGCGACACGATACGGAACCATTTTTTCGCAGGTCCGACTCGCACTTGGCCATATTTCTATATAATGATCCAAGAAAATGTCGTTTACAGTTCTGTAAAAGATTTAACTGATCTGTGATACCACTATTACGCAGAACAGTGGCTTACAAATAATATTTAAAGAACCTTTGAAGCTTTGATAGACCATTTTATAGCTTTTTCTCAACATCAGTAGCTCAATCGAATGAAATCTGTGCAGAAAGCAATAATATCACATTAAGTAGTGACAAAGAGATGGAGATGCTAAAATAAATGTCGAAAGATAGTTCTGTTAAGACTAATTTGAAGATAAATTAGCAATTCAATAACTTTAAGAGCTTTCATAAGGCTTACGGTTGATTGAAGGAATGAAGATATATTAATACAATTATCGTGTAAATGCATGCATGTCGAGTCCACGTTTAATCAACTTTTTTATAGAGCTAAAAAGCGTCGAATGCTAAAAAATGAAGAGATGTGCTTTTATACAACTGTTTGAAATAATGAGATCTATCATACAAGTGTCTTTTTGTTTTCAAGTCGTAAAAGTGATTGTCTATACTAGCTATTGCTGATTGGATAGCTGTGCGAACACTCGTACACTGCGTACAATTTACCTTGTATGATTTAACTTGTTAAATTACCTGAAGGTAATAGAATATAGTATGAAATTAACAAGAAGAGCAAACAGCTTAACAATATGCGAAGGTGCACTTCTCATTTATGTCTCTTCGAACTCACTGATCAAATATAGAACCTTCTTTATGATTTTGAAGTCTGTTAAAAATATCATGTACTCAACCAGTGTGCGACCATCTTTATTTTGTAGCCATTTCTATTTTCGGTATATTCATACATACAGGTGTTTGTCTGGCTATAATTAAGTCCAATATACTATTAATAATATAATAATAAGTAAAGGAGTGGTAGATTCCATGGGTAATATGAAGATCAACGCAACATTTCATTATTGTTTGATCCTAAACATTTCTGAAGTATGGTTTTGATGAATAACTTTGTTTAACCTAAAGTTAAACAACTCTTTGGAGAATGTACTTAATATATTAAGAATGTACACTACATATATTAATAATAATATATTGACATGCACTTTGCATTTGTATGTGACTCAATTCTATAATTAGCACAATATTGCACCATTGCATGAAATGTATTACGCATAATCCACCTCTTAGCGTTAGTCTCCCCTGCAGATCTACCCTATCTAGGGAGGTAGGTTAAAATGCAGGGGATTTCTTCGCAGATCGATCCTGCGTTATTCAATTCTTACTTATTTTTGCTTACCCTATGATTCGGTACGTGGTCGCCAATTCAGAACCTCTCCGCCCCAGCGGCCATCGGTTCTTCTAATTATGTGTCTCACACACTGCCACTTTAACTGGGTAAGGCAACGAAATAAAATATACTCCATTGTCCTTCTTCGGGGAATACTTTGCACGATAACATCCCAAGGGCTCCTTACTGCGCCGTTCGCTCCCATTTCAATCTCCCTGATGGGATTCTTGTTGCTTAGTCTCAAGGCTCAGGAATATTTGAGTTTTGCTTCCCAGACAGAACGAAAACGTGCAGTGCCCGCTCCGAAATTTGCTAAAGAGCAACATAACCAAACCATGCGCCTTCAATTATGGTGTTGTATGAAAGTAATAAAAATTATTTTCTTCACCGATATCTTTAATCGACTAATTTGTTGACGTTGTCTCAATTGCGGATATTGGAAATATTGACCAATTAATATTACGTCAAACAGATCGCCACAAAACCGCTGTCACCAGATCATTAACCCTATTAAATAGTTGCATCGTTTTATCTCTACAATTCCAAAACGGAAGAACAGTGACCATTGTTATCTGTGAATTGATTTTTCATGCTTAAACAAATGACACTTAGACCTCTTTTGGTCAAGGAAAATTATAAAATCTCCATCTGAGTGATCGTAGATTACTGGGACATTCCGGACGTCAACACTGACGCACTTACTTCTTGAAATTGCAGAATTTTTAGTAGGTAATATAGAACTTTGAACGTATGATTCACATTATTTGATCCATTATTATTATTATTTATTTCATTAACAATAAATACTATAAGTTTAGTGTCTTTGCTCCAAGTATAAGTTTTTATATTGATACTCTATAATATGATTAGTCGGCTATTTTCGAAATTGAAGCATCAATAAGTAGAAAACAGTTTATTCCATATAAGATGTACACAGCTGCAAACGGAATTTATTTTAGATATATAAAATTGCACATGCCTTAAACGGTTGTTGAAAAATTGTCCCATTTAACAGTTGATAATTACATAGTGCATAATTTCACAAAATCTCTTAATGAAGTGTTGAATCGTAAAATTGCGTATATTCATTGTTTTGTCTGGTTTACTTTTCAATACCTAACCGTTACATTTTAAAACGTAATATCAATAAGAGGTGATCAAATGAAATTTTTATGTGCTGAAGTATTTTGTTTCATCAGGTGATACGAGGTCAAAGACCAAGGAGTATTTTATTTCAATAAAAAAAGCTCCCGTTGGCATATCACCCAGCGCTATCGTACAATCATTATATGTATGGCGTAAATGTCGATTCGTGTTATTATGCTTTTTTTTCTATCATTAAATACATAATGTTAGATAGATAATTATGCTCGGGTAGGCAAGACGCCTGGCCGTATGTGCTTTCATTGACATTCTTATACGAGACGCCGCGTCAATCATACAACTCGTCGAAAGAACTTATTCTAAATTTAAAATAAGTTTGTTTTTTTTTATGTTTACGTTTCATGCATCGGATGGGTGCAAATTAACGCCCGGTCGAAGGTTATCGGTGCATTCGATTTTTAAAAATAAATTGAAAAAAGATAAATTGTTTTTTCGTCGGCATAATGGTCGAGAGCCAGTGTGTCGCCGCCGGGCCCGTGAAAACTTACATCATGAGTGATTTACTGAAGAAATTCGATTTCGACACCAAAAATGATTTCATGAAGATAGCCGTCGCTATCGGTGGCTTTTATATGGGAATCTTCTATCGTACGTACCGATTTTTTTTTATAGTTTTTAAGTTCTCAGTAGTGTTATTTATGTATTCTTTAGATATTTGTATTAAAAATAAAGTACTATAGTTACTATTGAACACAATGTATATGTCGTAATTTAATAGGTCATATGAAAATACCAAAACCACATTCATCGAGCCAGTGATCAATTTCCTCATCGAGCGGTTTGGAATTTAGTACAATACCGCAAAATTTTACTCGAAAAACCTTACTTGTTTATAAATAATATAATGCGCTCTAATTCTTATAATATCGTTGAGAAATACTGACGTTTTTTCGCTTACAGCATAAATTCGCTCAGAGTACCATTGACACAAATTAATTATGTAATTACAATGATTTCTGTTGTGATGATTAACTTGTTTTGTTACTAACGGACAATTTACCTACGATCTTCTAAAATTAACATAGTGTTTTACATAAAATAATAAACACAAGATAAAAATGTAAAGTAAGTAGGCAGGTTACTTAGGAAATTATTTATTACCTACGCCACTTTGATTTTTAACTCAAATAAAAAAGACGGAATGACGGAATAGTCATCACCATTTTTCATCCCAGGTTCGATAACTGGCATTTGTTTTTCTTTCCGTAAATTATATGGTCCTTCAGATATTTTCATAGTGGTTTGATATTATTAATTTTCATAGTCTCTGAATACAATTAACCGGTGTTGTTGTTTTCCAGAATATTCTGGATTTTAATATTATCTCTAAAAGTTATATTTAGCTCATTTGGGCTGATCCGAGGTCCAACGTTGAATGAATTGGTTCAGTCCGAACGTCATCAAAATAAATAACAGTAGTATACTGTCCAAACTTGAAGGGTTAAAGTTCAAATCTAGAAAGAAATGGAACCAAAAAACGATCCCCTTGATAAGCTCTTGGAGGCCTTCCACTAAATACCTCCAAAGGATAAAACCCGATGTGGGCAGACCTACTATTGTTTTTGATTCAACATGCACTTTATGTTCAATACTGTAATGAATTATGTGTGGATCTGATTCGGCATTGTGTTTTGAACGTTGATTATATTTGATTAAATCCAATGTCAACCAAATCGAAGTTAATGTAAATGAGTCAACGCCTGTTAGACGTCCAGTCACCAAATAAGTTCGAAAATGGTATATCGGCTTTCAAATTCAAACGTCAAATGAAGCTTCGATTGTTTAAATTGACCAATCAGGATTCTTCTAGGATATGAGTTAGGACAGACCAATTCTAATTGGTCAGTAGACGTTTGAAAGCCCTAAATTGACGGTAGAGTCGCTGAAAATCTCCGAATTACATATAAAATGGATGATAAATTAATTAGTGCAGTTTTTTAGGAAAGTATTTAAAATATCTTAAAAGTGCCTACCATGCAGGAGCGTTGATAGCGTCGCAAGATTTTCAATTTTCAACAATCAGAAACCATTTCATAGTCTCAGATAAAGACATCTTCCATTAGATGAAACAAAGACGAAATACAGCAATTCTGATATCCTCGAGTTAGCAAGCATGTATCTTCGGGTGTGAACAACTTAACGTAGCATCTAATTTGCCACCATTGGTGTGAATATAACCTTAGCATAAACATTTGCCTAAGGAAACGTTTAGCTTGCATTAATACAAAACACTATCCCCTGTTGTTTCAGTCGAAGATCTATTTAAGTATGATGATTTAATCAACAAATTAATATTTAATTATCTATTATTACTACGGTCGAATATGAAGGTCATTAATTTATCGTCGATTTGCATGAATATCGATTGTTTTTCTGCATATGTTACATTTAAAAAAGTATTTAGGAATTTATAATACTCATTGACTTTTCAAGGGTCTGAAGGTGATCAGCGATATCAATTAGGTTAGTAGACAGATTTTGTTTCTTATGTGACTTTTTGATATTTAACATTTAGTCATTTCCAAGAAAAATTAGTTGATTTTAAATTTCTTGCTATTATTTATTAGCAGTTATTAGCATTAGTAAAATCTTACTTCATTGTAAATAAATTTGCGATTTCTTCTTATTTAAACTCTGTTAATATCTATAATTACTGATTTTTGGTACCGATTTTTTTACTTATTATGTTTGAGCTGGAGAATATGTTATGATGATTTATCAATATCATTGTGATGCACTTATAAAAAATAATATCTATAATAATACACTGTAAATTTACATTGTAGTATAGCAGGCGGTGTACACATTACTGAATATAAATATATTACTATGTTATTGTTTTTTCATAGGCAAAAGGTCAGTTTTATTGCCATAATGCTTACATAGATTATGATAATATTACTGTAACCGAAACAGTCGACCGATAAAGAGTTACAGATAATAAACACAAAGAAAGAAAATTATCTGTTTGACAAAAAGTATGTTTACATATGAATGATCTTGAACCACAGTTGCAAAAACATTCTGGTCATTTTCAATGTCACACGAGCAGGGTTGCCAATAGATATATCCGTGTTTATATTTTTCATTAGCTAACGGTAAATGTAAACCAAACCGAATGGAATGCACTGAAGGAGGCGAACGGAAGGAATTTTACTAAACTAGCACGAGTCGAATCATCACAATTGACTAGTTGTAATATCGGCGGTCTCCGCTGAACTCCATTTTGCCTTATGATCTTGTATCGATAAACTGATATTTCGTATTCCGTAAGCATCAGACCATGAAAGTGAACTTCAAAAAGTGATTTTATCTAAATTAATATATAAATATATATATAGCAACTGGCTAGAAGATTAGTGATTTATTTCAGTCAATGAAATTCATGATTGTTTTTTATATTACTCAGTGTCGTCAAAAGTGTGTCAAATACAAGCCTTTTAATGTCAACATGTCACATAAATTAAGGGCAAACTTAAATGAATCATGCGTGATGGCGGATTTTTCTTTTGCTTCTTTGTCTGCATCATAATACACCTGTATTTGTAAGTAAATCGGGTTGTCCCTTGACAAAAACCTCTAATTAAAACCCCTTTTGTCTGCAGTTCTTTATAGATTTTTAATTGATTTCTATTGCAATATCCCACTTGGTATTTCCTATCACTTAATTTGTCTTGAATTTTCCATGTTGGGGGTAGCACTCTACGATTATTTTAGCTTACGAATCAAATCATGTATTTCTACATGACTATAGTGTAATCAACCTCGAAACTCGACGTCAATTATAGTGACCTCGCAACATAGAGGTGAAACAAAATCTTTACCTTTGAATCCAATGTCCGAATTTCCGAAAATTGGTCAGTAACGTATCGGTTTAAAAGTATTGGTCCGGTCTACTAGCTAGTTACTAGCGCTAGTAGCTAATATCCACAAACCGCATTAGTTCCGCGTATTTGGCCCATTGTATATTAGAAACGATATACTATTTATTTGATACAGTAATAAAAGCTTACTGTATATATTATATTATTGACAACCCTTAGTGATCAAACCATATGCTTACTATAAAAATCATTGATGTTCATCCAGTTAACAACCCTAAACGCTGTGTGTAAAAATATCTTATCATTAAACTGCATATGAACCGGTCCTGTTGACGGGATGTACATAAAGTATCATTACAGTTGATTTTCGTGTAATCATTCCATACACATAGATGAAAGTTGTTATTAGTGGTGCTTCGCGATCCGTAAATTATATATTGCACATTTTGTATTTAAGACATTACTCATCCCATAGATGGGAACTATGGCTGATCGACTACAGTCTATAATGGTTCACACCGTTGGTTTTTCCCCTGTTTAAATTAAATTCAGTTTCAAATCTATCAATACTAATGCTAATTCGCAAGAAGCATAAGCTATTCGTTTTCGTGTTGCCATATTTGCAGGGGCGGTTCCAGATCTCAAAAAGGTAATTCAGCTCAAAATAGTGCATTCCTGCAATAGAGATGTTTACCAAAATACCTTATAAGCATAAAGCCGTTATCGTGATTTTGTACAGTGGGCAATCAGCCTCAATAGATCATGAAAATGTAAAATTAGGCAATGTTTTAAATTTGGTCGAGTTATAGTGACATGAGAATCGTGCCGAAACTATCCAACCCTGCTTCTTTAGGTTCTTTAAGATGAACACTTTTTATTGTAATAGTTATTAAATCATTTAAGTTAGTCAAATACTCATAAATTTGTTTAATAGATAGCTTAAATGACAACAGTTAAGTACAGCAGCTGGTATTTAAGTGGATATGTAGTAAATTAGCCGTCAGTCTTAAGAGTAACATGATTATTGTTATTTTGTCCCCTCCGGCCTGTGTATTGTGTGGCCAAATCGGCCACACTGCCAACTATAAAGGTTGCCCACGAGCGCCGAAGCCCAAACCCTCTTCTAAGAAGAGGGCTAAGGGCCCGGTGGTCAACAAAGCGCCTAAAGCCCCCCCCCCCCCCCGCCCACTGCGGCGAACTTCCCCGCCTTACCAAAGGCGAACCACTCCGCCCCCAAACCGGCTTCACAACCGGTATGGGGTCCCCCTCCGAAACCCTCCCAGACGAAGCCTTCACCAAAGGCTTCCGTCCCACCTCCCAAAACCGCTCCTGTTCCTTCATCTATAGCCGATGACATAAATCTAGTCCTCAGCTTGATTCGTGGAATCGACATAGATGAAATCACCACCCTAGCGGCTAAGCTCCGTCGCGCTTCGTCCACACAGGAACGCCTTCTGGCGCTGTATGAACACGAAGCGTTACTAAGTGCATTATCAAAGCACTAACAACATGATAGGTCTCCCAAACCCAGTAGGCCAATCCACCCCCATCATACTGACCCTTCAGGTCAACCCTCTCTGCCCTCTCGACCTGACATCCCTTCAGGATGCAGGCCACACAAATTGTTACGGGTATATAATAGCACCCTTCTGGTGGTATGCGATGCTCCCCTCCCTGCCCTCCACACGCCGACCCTTCAGGTCACACCCTCGTCCGATCCGGCTGATCGTTCCCCTTCAGGGAGTCAGCTGTACGTACCTCAAT